AGCATACAGATGTAAACAGAGAGGAAGAGGTGAAGGGAGAGGACAGTGAGGTTTATTTGATGGAATAGAAGTTTCATAATGTTTAGGTTGTTAACAATCTACTGATATAAGTGGAAGGCATTCTGGCAACTTTTAGAACAACTATTTTAAGCAGGAGTAGCGGCTGTTGTTCATATGCCTGCTCCCGGTGTTGTGATATGTTTTGTCATTTAGCAGACGCTCTTATCCAGAGCAACTTACAGTTAGTGAGTACATACATTTTTTCATACTGGTCCCCCGTGGGAATCGAACCCACAACCCTGGCGTTGCAGGCGCCATGCTCTACCAACTGAGATACACGGGACATTATCATTCTGTTGTACCGCCTCTTATCCCTGTAGAGGGTTTCCTGGTGCTGGCTTCATCACTCTAGGGACTTTGGTACACTACTCTACAGCAAACCCCCTGACTGGCCCATCTACCCACCACTCAACACTAACTAACCCCCTGACTGGCCCATCTACCCACCACTCAACACTAACTAACCCCCTGACTGGCCCATCTACCCACCACTCAACACTAACTAACCCCCTGACTGGCCCATCTACCCACCACTCAACACTAACTAACCCCCTGACTGGCCCATCTACCCACCACTCAACACAAACGATGTTTATGTAAACATTGGACGCAGAGAAGTGAAACACAGAAACATACGGACGTACACACATGACAACACATCACAACACAACACATCACAACACATCACAACACAACACAACACAACACATCACAACAACACAACACATCACCACACCACACACACACACACACAACACACACCAAACACACAACACAAAACACAAACACACAACAAACAAAACACACACAACACAGCACAACACAGCACAACACAACACAACACAGCACAACACAGACACAAACACACACAACACACAACACATCACACACACACACACAACACACCGCCACAAGCACAACACAGCACAGCACAAACATCCACAACACAACACACACAACACATGCACAACACATCACATCACATCACAACCCAACACATCACACCACAGCACAACACAACACACCCATCACATCACACACACAACCAATACACAAACACACATCACACAACATCACACACACACAAACACATCACAACACACACAACACACAACACGCACAACACAACACACACAACACATCACAAACACATCACATCACATCACACACACAACACATCACAACCCACATCACAACACATCACATCCACACACACACATCACAACACAACACATCCAAACACATCACACACAACACACACACCAACAACACAGCCACAACACACACAACACAACACACCAACACATCACACAATCACACACAACACACACAACACACACAACACAACACATCGCAACACATCACATCCATCACAACACACACAACACAGCACAACACACCACAAAACACAACACAGCACAACACACACAACACAGCACAACACAGCACAACACAAGAACACAACACACACACAACACAACAAGCACATCAACACAGCACACACACAACACAGCACAACACACACAACACACACACACAACACAACACATCACAACCAAACACACACAACACACACACACAACAACACACAACACACACACACACAACACAACAACACACACACACAACACACTCAAACAACAACAACAACCATCACAACACACATCACACAACACAACACAACACATCACAACACATCACAACACAACACATCACAACACAACACATCACAACACAACACATCACAACACATCACAACACAACACATCACAACACATCACAACACATCACAACACAACACATCACAACACAACACATCACAACACAACACATCAAAAACAAAAACACAACACATACAAACAATCACAACACATCAACAACATCAAACAAAACACATCCAAACACATCACAACACAACACATCACAACACATCACAACACATCACAACACAACACATCACAACACAACACATCACAACACAACACATCACAACACATCACATCACAACACAGGGCTCTGTCGTAGCCGGCCGTGACCGGGAGACCCATGGGGCGGCGCACAATTGGCCCAGCGTTGTCCAGGGTAGGGGAGGGAATGGCCAGCAGGGATGTAGCTCAGTTGATAGAGCATGGTGTTTGCAACGGCAGGGTTGTGGGTTCGATTCCCACGGGGGGCCAGTATGAAAAAATTAATAATGTATGCACTCACTAACTGTAAGTCGCTCTGGATAAGAGCGTCTGCTAAATGACTACAATGTAAATGTAAATGTCTACACCACGGGGAAACGGGGTTAAAAGTATAATCCACATTATTGCTGCTAACAGACAACTGGGACCGGCTTACAGGCATCATATAATATAGCAACACACGGTGGGGGATTGGGAAGACTGACGTAACTGGCCATAATAACACAACAACAACACCTATAAACTGGTAGCCGTGACACAACAAGACAACACCTATAAACTGGTAGCCGTGACACAACAAGACAACACCTATAAACTGGTAGCCGTGACACAACAAGACAACACCTATAAACTGGTAGCCGTGACACAACAACACAACTCCATTAAACTTGTAATCGTAACATATCTCCTTAAACTGATCATAGTAACACAACAACACAACTAATTTAAACTGGTAGTAATAACACAAATCCTTTAAACTGATAATTGCAACACAACAACACAACTCATTTAAATGTGTGTTAATTCCAAAACTCTTCTAACTGGTAATAATAGCACAACTCCTTTAATTTGGTAATAGTAACACAACAACGCATCGACACTCAGTTCAGGTCAGTCAGTGTTTCCCTAGCGTTTGCTCTGTTGACCTGCTCCCTGAATCATTTTGCTGCAATTAGTTTGAATGAAACAACGTTGGCTAAAGAGATCCTGATTGGTGATGTTGCTGTTCCAGTGACCCGTCTGGAATCAGAGAATGTGAAGTGAAGGAGATCCAGGAAGGCTGGAGTTAACAGGCTGTAGTTGTAGACATAGTGAAGGAGATCCAGGAAGGCTGGAGTTAACAGGCTGTAGTTGTAGACATAGTGAAGGAGATCCAGGAAGGCTGGAGTTAACAGGCTGTAGTTGTAGACATAGTGAAGGAGATCCAGGAAGGCTGGAGTTAACAGGCTGTAGTTGTAGACATAGTGAAGGAGATCCAGGAAGGCTGGAGTTAACAGGCTGTAGTTGTAGACATAGTGAAGGAGATCCAGGAAGGCTGGAGTTAACAGGCTGTAATTGTAGACATAGTGAAGGAGATCCAGGAAGGCTGGAGTTAACAGGCTGTAGTTGTAGACATAGTGAAGGAGATCCAGGAAGGCTGGAGTTAACAGGCTGTAGTTGTAGACATAGTGAAGGAGATCCAGGAAGGCTGGAGTTAACAGGCTGTAGTTGTAGACATAGTGAAGGAGATGCAGGAAGGCTGGAGCATACTTGCTGTAATTGTAGACATAGGCTATGTGTTTAGATTTGCACAATGCTGTAGGACTTGGAGGAGGAAAGGGAGTGGCTTAAACTCAGTTCAGACTCTCTGTGGCCTCAATCAACAGTATATTCTGTCCTCCCACAACCACAGCTGGCTGGAAAGGTTCTGGAAAGGTTCAGGGGCCATATGTATCAAAAATCTCAAGGTAGGAGTGCTGATCAACGATCACATCCCGCCCTGTCCGTCTTATTCATTAAGATGCTGAACTGATCCCGAGTCTGCACTCCTACTCTGATTCATGAGACAATCAGAAGCCATGGATTACAGGCAACATCCGCACTGAGCTAAAGGGTAGAGCTGCCGCTTTCAAGGAACGGGACTCTAACCCGGACGCTTATAAGAAATCCTGCTATGCCCTCCGACGAACCTTCAAACAGGCAAAGAGTCAATACAGGACTAAGATTGAATCATACTACACCGGCTCCGATGCTCGTCGGATGTGGCAGGGCTTGCAAACTATTACAGACTGCAAAGGGAAGCACAGCCACGAGCTGTCCAGTGACACAAGCCTGCCAGACGAGCTAAATGACTGACGGATTACCAGGACGTGTACTCTGAGCACGCGCTGACCAACTGGCAAGTGTCTTCACTGACATTTTCAACCTGTCCCTGGTCGAGTCTGTAATACCTACATGTTTCAAGCAGACCACCATAGTCCCTGTGCCCAAGAACACTAAGGTAACCTGCCTAAATGATTGCCGACCCGTAGCACTCACGTCTGTAGCCATGAAGTGTTTTGAAAGGCTGGTCATGAATCACATCAACAACATCAACCCCAAAAACCCTAGACCCACTCCAATTTGCATACCGCCCCAAAAGATCCACCAATGACTCAATCTCTATTGCACTCCACACTGCCCTTTCCCACCTGGACAAAAGGAACACCTATGTGAGAATGCTGTTCATTGACTACAGTTCAGCATTCAACACTATAGTGCCCTCAAAGCTCATCACTAAGCTAAGGATCCTGGGACTAAACACCTCCCTCTGCAACTGGATCCTGGACTTCCTGACGGGCCGCCCCCAGGTGGTAAGGGTAGGCAACAACACATCTGCCACACTGATCCTCAACACGGGGGCCCCTCAGGGGTGGGTGCTCAGTCCCCTCCTGTACTCCCTGTTCACCCACGACTGCGTGGCCAAGCACTACTCCAACACCATCAATACGTTTGCAGACGACACAACGGTGGTATTCCTGATCACCGACAACAATGAGACAGCCTATAGAGAGGAGGTCAGAGACCTGGAGAGGAGTTGGGTGGGTGAAGGGGAAGCTGAGGGGTGGAGAGGAGTTGGGTGGGTGGAGGGGAAGCTGAGGGGTGGAGAGGAGTTGGGTGGGTAAAGGGGAAGCTGAGGGGTGGAAAGGAGTTGGGTGGGTGGAGGGGAAGCTGAGGGGTGGAGAGGAGTTGGGTGGGTGGAGGGGAAGCTGAGGGGTGGAGAGGAGTTGGGTGGGTGGAGGGGAAGCTGAGGAGTGGAGAGGAGTTGGGTGGGTGGAGGGGAAGCTGACGGGTGGAGAGGAGTTGGGTGGGTGGAGGGGAAGCTGAGGGGTGGAGAGGAGTTGGGTGGGTGAAGGGGAAGCTGAGGGGTGGAGAGGAGTTGGGTGGGTGGAGGGGAAGCTGAGGGGTGGAGAGGAGTTGGGTGGGTGAAGGGGAAGCTGAGGGGTGGAGAGGAGTTGGGTGGGTGGAGGGGAAGCTGAGGGGTGGAGAGGAGTTGGGTGGGTGGAGGGGAAGCTGACGGGTGGAGAGGAGTTGGGTGGGTGGAGGGGAAGCTGAGGGGTGGAGAGGAGTTGGGTGGGTGAAGGGGAAGCTGAGGGGTGGAGAGGAGTTAGGTGGGTGGAGGGGAAGCTGAGGGGTGGAGAGGAGTTGGGTGGGTGGAGGGGAAGCTGAAGGGTGGAGAGGAGTTGGGTGGGTGGAGGGGAAGCTGAGGGGTGGAGAGGAGTTGGGTGGGTGGAGGGGAAGCTGAGGGGTGGAGAGGAGTTGGGTGGGTGGAGGGGAAGCTGAGGGGTGGAGAGGAGTTGGGTGGGTGGAGGGGAAGCTGAGGGGTGGAGAGGAGTTGGGTGGGTGAAGGGGAAGCTGAGGGGTGGAGAGGAGTTGGGTGGGTGGAGGGGAAGCTGAGGGGTGGAGAGGAGTTGGGTGGGTGGAGGGGAAGCTGAGGGGTGGAGAGGAATTGGGTGGGTGGAGGGGAAGCTGAGGGGTGGAGAGGAGTTGGGTGGGTGGAGGGGAAAAGAGGGAGGGAGGTATGGAGTAGATGCTGGTTCACCCAACTCCTCTCCACCCCTCAGCTGGATGCTGGGCAGAGGACAAGGTAGAGGAGGGGAGGTATGATGGGGATGCTGGGTGTAGGAGGGGAGGAATGGAGGGGATGCTGGGTGTAGGAGGGGAGGAATGGAGGGGATGCTGGGTGTAGGAGGGGAGGAATGGAGGGGATGCTGGGTGTAGGAGGGGAGGTATGGAGGGGATGCTGGGTGTAGGAGGGGAGGAATGGAGGGGATGCTGGGTGTAGGAGGGGAGGAATGGAGGGGATGCTGGGTGTAGGAGGGGAGGAATGGAGGGGATGCTGGGTGTAGGAGGGGAGGAATGGAGGGGATGCTGGGTGTAGGAGGGGAGGTATGGAGGGGATGCTGGGTGTAGGAGGGGAGGAATGGAGGGGATGCTGGGTGTAGGAGGGGAGGTATGGAGGGGATGCTGGGTGTAGGAGGGGAGGAATGGAGGGGATGCTGGGTGTAGGAGGGGAGGTATGGAGGGGATGCTGGGTGTAGGAGGGGAGGAATGGAGGGGATGCTGGGTGTAGGAGGGGAGGTATGGAGGGGATGCTGGGTGTAGGAGGGGAGGAATGGAGGGGATGCTGGGTGTAGGAGGGGAGGTATGGAGGGGATGCTGGGTGTAGGATGGGAGAGGGGGGGAGAGGACATTATGGGGGGGGTAGAATGGGATATCGCAGCCATAAAATGTTCGGGGTCACGCCACCCTGACCCACTTCTCCCCTGGCTGGCGTTCAGGAAGTGTCCCAGGAACTGAGGTGCTTGTCTGGCCGTTCCTCTGATCCTCAGTGGAAAGTTCTGTCGAAGAACGATGTAGGAGTGGAGGTGTGGTTGGGTGGTGGGATGGAAGAAGAGCTGGAGGGGTGGGGGAGGGGAAGGAGTGACAGAGGGAGAGGTGAAGATAGAGGGGGAGGAGTGAGAAGAGGTTTAAGGGAGGGGGGAGGGGGTGGGGGGTGGGGGAGGGAATGCTGGTTGTATGGGGAGCAGTTAGGGGTGAGGAGGAATGGAGGGAGAGGGCGACGGGGGAGGGGTGAATGTGGAGTGTGTTGGGGACCTTTTAGTTGTTCCCATGGAGCGTTCAGGCTAGCGTTGCCGTTGAGGCTATCAGATCTCACTGCCAGATGAGTAACTACTGTCAGCTAGTGACACTTTACTTTATTGATCCATAGGAGACAGAAATGTGTCTTCTGCTTTTAACCAACCCCTCCCAGGCTCAGAGGTTAGGAGATCCTCCAGAGTTAGTGCTCCCAATCATTTTTACAATTAAATGTAAAAAAAAATATATATGAATTATGGAATTGAACACAATCTAAAAGGAAAAGCCATGGAAACAACCTGCACCACACCATACACACCCTACATACAGTGAGGGAAAAAAGTATTTGATCCCCTGCTGATTTTGTAAGTTTGCCCACTGACAAAGACATGATCAGTCAAAAATTTTAATTGTAGGTTTATTTGAACAGTGAGAGACAGAATAACAACAACAAAATCCAGAAAAACGCATGTCAAAAATTTTATAAAATGATTTGCATTTAAATGAGAGAAATAAGTATTTGACCCCTCTGCAAAACATGACTTAGTACTTGGTGGCAAAACCCTTGTTGGCAATCACAGAGGTCAGACGTTTCTTGTAGTTGGCCACCAGGTTTGCACAAATCTCAGAAGGGATTTTGTCCCACTCCTCTATGCAGATCTTCTCCAAGTCATTAAGGTTTCGAGTCTGACGTTTGACAACTCGAACCTTCAGCTCCTTCCACATATTTTCTATGGGATTAAGGTCTGGAGACTGGCTAGGCCACTGCAGGACCTTAATGTGCTTCTTCTTGAGCCACTCCTTTGTTGCCTTGGCCGTGTGTTTTGGGTCATTGTCATCCTGGAATACCCATCCACGACCCATTTTCAATGCCCTGGCTGAGGGAAGGAGGTTCTCACCCAAGATTTGACGGTACATGGCCCTGTCCATCGTCCCTTTGATGCGGTGAAGTTGTCCTGTCCCCTTAGCAGAAAAACACCACCAAAGCATAATGTTTCCACCTCCATGTTTGACGGTGGGGATGGTGTTCTTGGGGTCATAGACAGCATTCCTCCTCCTCCAAACACGGCGAGTTGAGTTGATGCCAAAGAGGTCGATTTTGGTCTCATCTGACCACAACACTTTCACCCAGTTCTCCTCTGAATCATTCACATGTTCATTGGCAAACTTCAGACGGGCATGTATATGTGCTTTCTTGAGCAGGGGGACCTTGCAGGCGCTGCAGGATTTCAGTCCTTCACGGCGTGTGTTACCAATTGGTTTCTTGGTGACTATCGTACCAGCTGCCTTGAGATCATTGACAAGATCCTCCCGTGTAGTTCTGGGCTGATTTCTCACCGTTCTCATGATCATTGCAACTCCAAGAGGTGAGATCTTACATGGAGCCCCAGGCCGAGGGAGATTGACAGTTCTTTTGTGTTTCTTCCATTTGCGAATAATCGCACCAACTGTTGTCACCTTCTCACCAAGCTGCTTGGCGATGGTCTTGTAGCCCATTCCAGCCTTGCGTAGGTCTATAATCCTGTCCCTGACAACCTTGGAGAGCTCTTTGGTCTTGGCCATGGTGGAGAGTTTGGAATCTGATTGATTGATTGCTTCTGTGGACAGGTGTCTTTTATACTGGTAACAAGCCGAGATTAGGAGCACTCTCTTTAAGAGTGTGCTCGTAATCTCAGCTCGTTACCTGTATAAAAGACACCTGGGAGCCAGAAATCTTTCTGATTGAGAGGGGGTCAAATACTTATTTCCCTCATTAAAATGCAAATCAATTTATATCATTTTTGACATGCGTGTTTCTGGATTTGTTTGTTGTTATTCTGTCTCTCACTGTTCAAATAAACCTACCATTAAAATTATAGACTGATCATTTCTTTGCCAGTGGGCAAACGTACAAAATCAGCAGGGGATCAAATACTTTTTTCCCTCACTGTACAATACGCACACACTCAAGACTTGTTTGCATATATGAACTGAATGACCTTTCCTCGAGCAAGAGAGGGTTGAGCAATAGCTATCAGCAGGACTAGAACCACAGACTAACACGTGTTATATTATAATAGGTAGCTTTCACACCATGGACAACAGCTCAGTCACACCATGGATTACAGCTCTGTCACACCATGGATTACAGCTCTGTCACACTATGGATTACAGCTCTGTCACACCATGGACAACAGCTCAGTCACACCATGGACAACAGCTCAGTCACACCATGGACAACAGCTCAGTCACACCATGGATTACAGCTCAGTCACACCATGGATTATAGCTCAGTCAAACCATGGATTACAGCTCTGTCACACCATGGACAACAGCTCAGTCGCACCATGGACAACAGCTCAGTCACACCATGGACAACAGCTCTGTCACACCATGGATTACAGCTCTGTCACACTATGGATTACAGCTCAGTCACACCATGGATTACAGCTATGTCACACCATGGATTACAGCTCTGTCACACCATGGATTACAGCTCTGTCACACCATGGACAACAGCTCTGTCACACCATGGACAACAGCTCTGTCACACCATGGATTACAGCTCTGTCACACCATGGACAACAGCTCAGTCACACCATGGACAACAGCTCAGTCACACCATGGACAACAGCTCTGTCACACCATGGATTACAGCTCTGTCACACTATGGATTACAGCTCAGTCACACCATGGATTACAGCTCTGTCACACCATGGATTACAGCTCTGTCACACCATGGATTACAGCTCTGTCACACCATGGACAACAGCTCTGTCACACCATGGATTACAGCTCTGTCACACCATGGATTACAGCTCTGTCACACCATGGATTACAGCTCTGTCACACCATGGATTACAGCTCTGTCACACCATGGACAACAGCTCAGTCACACTATGGATTACAGCTATGTCACACCATGGATTACAGCTCTGTCACACCATGGATTACAGCTCTGTCACACCATGGATTACAGCTCTGTCACACCATGGATTACAGCTCTGTCACACCATGGATTACAGCTCTGTCACACCATGGATTACAGCTCTGTCACACCATGGATTACAGCTCTGTCACACCATGGATTACAGCTCTGTCACACCATGGATTACAGCTCTGTCACACCATGGATTACAGCTCTTTGGGCTAGCTAGAGCGACATACATATATGACAAGAGTCCATGTGACTATTCTGAAGGTAGATGCAACAAGTTCCTAAACAAACAGGTTAACAGATCAAGTTCCCACACAAACAGGTTTACATAACAAATTCATAAACACACGGGTTAACAGAACAAATTCCTAAACACACAGGTTAACAGAAGGTAAGCATGTACTCACTCACAACCAAACGCCAGGAGTTATACTTGAAAAAGAGTATGTAGAGAGAGAGAAAGAGAGTGAGAGTGAGAGTGAGAGAGAGAGAGAGAGAGAGGGGAAGAGCGAGAGGAAGAGAGGGAGAGAGAGAGAGAGAGGAAGACAGATGGACAGAGAGCGTATTAGCAGGACTATCTGTTAAATCTATTCCTCCAGTGGAAGGGACCAGCAGCGTTCTAAAATAGAACCCTGAGGAATCACATGGCAGCACAGCTATTCCAGGCAGCTAGCTAGGTCCTCTGACTGCTATACTCCTGTCCTGTCTCTATGAACACACACACACACACACACACACACACACACACACACACACACACACACACACACACACTGTCAGATATGCACACACTCACATGCATAAGCACACACAGCTACACTGACAACAACGCACTCACTGCCCCACATTTCTTACATTCACAGAAATAAAAGCAGATGCACTCAAACACACACAAACATTCTGTGTGCTGTCGTAAGTGCTCCCTACTCTTCCCAATCCCTCTAATGCTGCGTGTAGACGACAGATGCAAAAAACGTCATACCAGTTGGTGGGACAAGAAAGCAAGAAAGACTGTGATGCAAAAGCAAGCCAGTACGACGGCATGCATTGCTAAGGTGATTTCAGTAAACAAACAACTCATCAACCAGTAGAAAACAACGCTACTGCAGATGGCAAAAGTTGAAATATTTGAACTCTGGCGGCAAGTCCCGTCTACTGTGGCGCTACATTGTACTGTAAAAAACACATTGGCTTTTTCGCTAGGCACCCTGAAGAAGTGTGATTTTTAGAGTGAAAACCTGAAAAAAACAAAACTGGAAAAATGTAATTTGCTAAAAGATAACAGTGATTTTATATACGACTGTAGACTAACTGTTCTCTTACAATAGCACCCTTTTTCAGATTTCGCAAAGGTTATATTTCTCCCCTCCAAACAATCAATGTAAATATGATATTGTCAAGTTAAAATGTAATGGTTTGTGTATGGACGGTAAGTCATTATAGGGCTACTTGCTCAGAAAGAGAACATTTAGATGAGGCGCGCATCATCCGCTTTCCCGGGCCAGTATCCTTTTCATTTGGGCCAGCAGCTTTCCTTTTCCACTGGCCCATTTAGCTAAATGTGAAGCCCTACCAGTAGCAGTGCATGGGTAAAATCACTGGGGAAGCCAAGCCAGAAAAAAAAGCCTGAAAAAAGCCTAAGGCCCTGACAATAAGAAGACACAGTGGCAGAATAAATTCAACCACACCTTTGGTTCATCACAAAACCGGAGAGCAACCTCTGTCCGGTGAAGTCCACAAAACATATTGCATCTAACAGACAGTTAGATGACCTACAGCACGGTCAAGCAAGTTAATGTTTCTGACGTTTTCGGACCACAAAACAACTATTGATTTAGAACCACAGAGAGTTACCGCAAGTCGCAAAGAAAACAGGAGCTGCCTCCACTATTCCAGCACCATTTCAACTTCAACATCACCTCTGCTTAGTCTAATACAGTGACAACTAAAAGATACCAAAAACAATTTAGTCCAATCAACGTAAAACTAAATATGACGTGGCTGTCCATGGCACTGATTTCTGTGTGTATATGTGTGTGTGTGTGTGCAAGTATAAAAAACATGTTGACACCAATGATATCCTTCTCTCTTTCCTGTTGCCTAAACGGTCTATGACTTGGTCATACAGTACACGCTTTTAGTTTTTGTTGTCCTCGGCTACCTGGCTAAAATGCTTGCTCACTAGCCTAACTTCCATTCATGGGCAACATTAGCTAGTTAACATTAGCCTTCTACATCTAGCTACATATTGAACTTCCATCCTCTCAGGCCAGGGGCACAATGTATGAATTAATGGTTGGATCAGATTCTCCGTTATAATCTTTGGCCAGTACGGAGAATTAAGTAAAACCACCAGTCCAAATCCTTATCTCCATCCGTGGTTAATTTAGGAAAGGGACCATTTTAGCTGGCTAGCTAGCCATCGGAGGACAACAACACAACGGGATGCAACAATTCAAGTTATTTTCTGTCAATGACGTTTGGCTTCTGATGTGATGTGATTGGTCTGAAGTCAAATCCAAACTGGCTTCCCTTGACACTTTTCTATGGTGCTCCAGGACCAATCACAGCTGAGCTCACTCAGTTTAGCTCAACGCTGATTGGCTATTATTTTTTTATTTTTTATGTATTAAAGGAGGCCAAATGCTCGCTGGCTTCCCTTGCATTCAATGCTACAGGCAACAACAATGACTCTTTCTGACCAGACAGCATCAGACACATGAAACACAAAGAGACGAAAGATAAATTATTTTGTATGTTTTTTTCTTGTACATTTTTTTTGGGGAAGCCTGGCTTCCCTTGGCACCCCTTGAATACACACCACTGAGCCCTACAAGGGCACGCTAATTACAAAGATGGCTAGTCATTATTAGCCTGGTTCTGTGTGGAATTCAGATACAATATGGGACACAGGCCAGGTCATTATCGCTGCACAGGGGCAAAGAATTGGTGAGAAAATCATGTGCTGGTGCCTTCAACTGAAAAAGTTAGTCCAGAGCCCTGACTCACTGACCAGAACCTTTACCTATTCACCAGAACCTTACACCTTTACCTATTCACCAGAACCTTACACCTTTACCTATTCACCAGAACCTTTCACCTTTACCTATTCACCAGAACCTTTCACCTTTACCTATTCACCAGAACCTTTCACCTTTACCTATTCACCAGAACCTTTCACCTTTACCTATTCACCAGAACCTTTCACCTTTACCTATTCACCAGAACCTTTCACCTTTACCTATTCACCAGAACCTTTCACCTTTACCTATTCACCAGAACCTTTCACCTTTACCTATTCACCAGAACCTTTCACCTTTACCTATTCACCAGAACCTTTCACCTTTACCTATTCACCAGAACCTTACACCTTTACCTATTCACCAGAACCTTACACCTTTACCTATTCACCAGAACCTTTCACCTTTACCTATTCACCAGAACCTTTCACCTTTACCTATTCACCAGAACCTTACACCTTTACCTATTCACCAGAACCTTACACCTTTACCTATTCACCAGAACCTTTCACCTTTACCTATTCACCAGAACCTTACACCTTTACCTATTCACCAGAACCTTAAACCTTTACCTATTCACCAGAACCTTTCACCTTTACCTATTCACCAGAACCTTTCACCTTTACCTATTCACCAGAACCTTACACCTTTACCTATTCACCAGAACCTTTCACCTTTACCTATTCACCAGAACCTTACACCTTTACCTATTCACCAGAACCTTTCACCTTTACCTATTCACCAGAACCCTATGCTACGAATGAGGTTTGAGGAGTTAGCCTGGTCATTTTGGTCAACTCTGAGTTTAACTTGGGATAAGCGGTACCACGAAAGTGTCTCCCCTTTTAGCCAGGTACATTTCTATGGTAAGGAAGCCTTCAGAACTAACCTGTTCCGGGGCAGGCTAACTCTGGGCTAACTCCATTTATCCTGAATGAAGTTTCTGAGTCGCGATTTGAGGACCAATTAAATCAGATCCCCTCCCTCTCGCAAAGATTGCATCATCATCCCCTTTGTTTGAGGAAGACGTCTGATTCAATATTTTATTAATCAAATGTTTTTGTGTGTTAAAACATTGTCATGTTAAAAGAGCTTTCACGTTACACATTTAGTAATGACAGAATGCACAGTAAAATCTTTGTATGACTTAATCAAATTATTTTACCCATAGGAGTGAAAAAAAAGGGGCTTGTGCATTGATCAGCACACCAAATCAAAGATGGCATCAGCGATATGTAACACAATAAAGATGGCATTAACAAATAAGTAAGCCTCTCCTGAAGGCTGTGCGCAGAGCACGCTCATTCCAGCCGGAAGGCGCCGCCACCGTGCGAAAGCTCAGAGCGTACTCGGACGCGGGCCCCCTGCCTGTTGTAGCCGGAGTAGACGCTCACCCCCGTCCTTTCCCTCCATGGGATGATCAAACAACGCCTTGAACCAAGCGAGGAAGGTGGAGTAGGGAAGCGCCGCAGCCTCACCTTCTTCCCAGACTTTACAGTTGGCACTATGCATTGGGGCAGGTAGCGTTCTCCTGGCATCTGCCAAACCCAGATTTGTCCGTCAGACTGCCAGATGGGGAAGGGTGATTCATCACTCCAGAGAACGCGTTTCCACTGCTCCAGAGTCCAATGGAGGCGAGCTTTACACCACTCCAGAGAACGCGTTTCCACTGCTCCAGAGTCCAATGGAGGCGAGCTTTACACCACTCCAGAGAACGCGTTTCCACTGCTCCGGAGTCCAATGGAGGCGAGCTTTACACCACTCCAGAGAACGCGTTTCCACTGCTCTAGAATCCAATGGCAGCGAGCTTTACACCACTCCAGAGAACGCGTTTCCACTGCTCTAGAGTCCAATGGCAGCGAGCTTTACACCACTCCAGAGAACGCGTTTCCACTGCTCCAGAGTCCAATGGAGGCGAGCTTTACACCACTCCAGAGAACGCGTTTCCACTGCTCCAGAGTCCAATGGAGGCAAGCTTTACACCACTCCAGAGAACGCGTTTCCACTGCTCCAGAGTCCAATGGCAGCGAGCTTTACACCACTCCAGCCGACGCTTGGCATTGCTCATGGTGATCTTAGGCTTGTGTGCGGCTGCTCGGCCATGGAAACCCATTTCATGAAGCTCTCGACGAACAGCTCTTGTGCTGACGTTGCTTCCAGAGGCAGTTTGGAACTTGGTAGTGAGTGTTGCAACCGAGGACAGATGATTTTTACGCGCTAAGCGCTTCAGCACTCGGCGGTCCCGTTCTGTGAGCTTGTGTGGCCTACCACTTCGCGGCTGAGCCGTTGTTGCTCCTAGACATTTCCACTTCACAATAACAGCACTTACAGTTGACCAGGGCAGCTCTAGCAGGGTAGAAATTTGACGAACTGACTTGTTGGAAAGGTGGCATCCTATGACGGTGCCACGTTCAAAGTCACTGAGCATTTCAGTACGGGCCATTCTACTGCCAATGTTTGTCTATGGAGATTGCATGGCTGTGTGCTCGATTTTTATACACCTGTCAGCAACGGGTATGGCTGAAATAGAATCCACTAATTTGAAGGGGTGTCCACATACTGCTGTCCATGTAGTTTATGTTATTATATATAGAGTGTGTCGGTCTGTCACATTACTGGGCTGTTTGAGCCAGCCTGGTTCCAGCCTGGTTACGCATCCAGCAGAAAAGGACAAAAAGAAAAGATGTGAGTCAGGTCAACATGGTGACAGTCAGGTCAACATGGTGACAGTCAGGTCAACATGGTGACAGTCAGGTCAACATGGTCACAGTCAGGTCAACATGGTCACAGTCAGGTCAACATGGTCACAGTCAGGTCAACATGGTCACAGTCAGGTCAACATGGTGACAGTCAGGTCAACATGGTCACAGTCAGGTCAACATGGTGACAGTCAGGTCAACATGGTGACAGTCAGGTCAACATGGTCACAGTCAGGTCAACATGGTCACAGTCAGGTCAACATGGTGACAGTCAGGTCAACATGGTGACAGTCAGGTCAACATGGTGACAGTCAGGTCAACATGGTGACAGTCAGGTCAACATAGTGACAGTCAGGTCAACATGGTGACAGTCAGGTCAACATGGTCACAGTCAGGTCAACATGGTCACAGTCAGGTCAACATGGTCACAGTCAGGTCAACATGGTGACAGTCAGGTCAACATGGTGACAGTCAGGTCAACATGGTCACAGTCAGGTCAACATGGTCAGAGTCAGGTCAACATGGTGACAGTCAGGTCAACATGGTCAGAGTCAGGTCAACATGGTGACAGTCAGGTCAACATGGTGACAGTCAGGTCAACATGGTGACAGTCAGGTCAACATGGTGACAGTCAGGTCAACATGGTGACAGTCAGGTCAACATGGTGACAGTCAGGTCAACATGGTGACAGTCAGGTCAACATGGTCAGAGTCAGGTCAACATGGTGACAGTCAGGTCAACATAGTGACAGTCAGGTCAACATGGTAGTGTGATATATCTGTCAACATGGTAGTGTGATATATCTGTCAACATGGTAGTGTGATATATCTGTCAACATGGTAGTGTGATATATCTGTCAACATGGTAGTGTGATATATCTGTCAACATGGTAGTGTGATATATCTGTCAACATGGTAGTGTGATACATCTGTCAACATGGTAGTGTGATATATCTGCCAACATGGTAGTGTGATATATCTGTCAACATGGTAGTGTGATATATCTGTCAACATGGTAGTGTGATATATCTGTCAACATGGTAGTGTGATATATCTGTCAACATGGTAGTGTGATATATCTGTCAACATGGTAGTGTGATATATCTGTCAACATGGTAGTGTGATATATCTGTCAACATGGTAGTGTGATACATCTGTCAACATGGTAGTGTGAAATCTCTGTCAACATGGTAGTGTGATATATCTGTCAACATGGTAGTGTGATATATCTGTCAACATGGTAGTGTGATATATCTGTCAACATGGTAGTGTGATATATCTGTCAACATGGTAGTGTGATACATCTGTCAACATGGTAGTGTGATATCTCTGTCAACATGGTAGTGTGATATATCTGTCAACATGGTAGTGTGATATATCTGTCAACATGGTAGTGTGATATATCTGTCAACATGGTAGTGTGATATATCTGTCAACATGGTAGTGTGATATATCTGTCAACATGGTAGTGTAATACATCTGTCAACATGGTAGTGTGATATATCTGCCAACATGGTAGTGTGATATATCTGTCAACATGGTAGTGTGATATATCTGTCAACATGGTAGTGTGATATATCTGTCAACATGGTAGTGTGATATATCTGTCAACATGGTAGTGTGATATATCTGTCAACATGGTAGTGTGATATATCTGTCAACATGGTAGTGTGGTACATCTGTCAACATGGTAGTGTGATATATCTGTCAACATGGTAGTGTGATATATCTGTCAACATGGTAGTGTGATATATCTGTCAACATGGTAGTGTGATATATCTGTCAACATGGTAGTGTGATATATCTGTCAACATGGTAGTGTGATATATCTGTCAACATGGTAGTGTGATATATCTGTCAACATGGTAGTGTGATATATCTGTCAACATGGTAGTGTGATATCTCTGTCAACATGGTAGTGTGATATCTCTGTCAACATGGTAGTGTGATATATCTGTCAACATGGTAGTGTGATATATCTGTCAACATGGTAGTGTGATATATCTGTCAACATGGTAGTGTGATACATCTGTCAACATGGTAGTGTGATATATCTGTCAACATGGTAGTGTGATATATCTGCCAACATGGTAGTGTGATATATCTGTCAACATGGTAGTGTGATATATCTGTCAACATGGTAGTGTGATATATCTGTCAACATGGTAGTGTGATATATCTGTCAACATGGTAGTGTGATATCTCTGTCAACATGGTAGTGTGATATATCTGTCAACATGGTAGTGTGATATATCTGTCAACATGGTAGTGTGATATATCTGTCAACATGGTAGTGTGATATATCTCTCAACATGTTAGTGTGATATCTCTGTCAACATGGTAGTGTGATATATCTGTCAACATGGTAGTGTGATATATCTGTCAACATGGTAGTGTGATATATCTGTCAACATGGTAGTGTGATATATCTGTCAACATGGTAGTGTGATATATCTGTCAAACATGGTAGTGTGATATATCTGTCAACATGGTAGTGTGATATATCTGTCAACATGGTAGTGTGATATCTCTGTCAACATGGTAGTGTGATATCTCTGTCAACATGGTAGTGTGATATATCTGTCAACATGGTAGTGTGATATATCTGTCAACATGGTAGTGTGATACATCTGTCAACATGGTAGTGTGATATATCTGTCAACATGGTAGTGTGATATATCTGTCAACATGGTAGTGTGATATATCTGTCAACATGGTAGTGTGATATATCTGTCAACATGGTAGTGTGATATATCTGTCAACATGGTAGTGTGATATATCTGTCAACATGGTAGTGTGATATATCTGTCAACATGGTAGTGTGATATCTCTGTCAACATGGTAGTGTGATATATCTGTCAACATGGTAGTGTGATATCTCTGTCAACATGGTAGTGTGATATATCTGTCAACATGGTAGTGTGATATCTCTGCATTCTTAACAGCATGGTCAAAACATATTGATACAACAGTAGCTAGGATGGGGAGAAGTCTGTCTATAATAAAGCGCTGCTCTGCATTCTTAACAGCACTATCAACAAGGCAGGTCACTATCAACAAGGCAGGTCACTATCAACAAGGCAGGTCACTATCAACAAGGCAGGTCACTATCAACAAGGTAGGTCACTATCACCAAGGCAGAGAACTATCACCAAGGCAGGTCACTATCAACAAGGCAGGTCACTATCAACAAGGCAGGTCACTATCAACAAGGCAGGTCACTATCACCAAGGCAGGTCACTATCAACAAGGCAGGTCACTATCACCAAGGCAGGTCACTATCACCAAGGCAGGTCCTACAGGCTCTAGTTTTGTCGCTGTGGCACTTAGGCAAATTGCAATTGGCTCAGAACAGGGCAGCACGGCTGGCCCCTTGGATGTACACAGAGAGCAAGCATTAATAATATGCAAGTCAATCTCTCCTGGCTCAATGTGGAGGAGAGATTGACTTCATCACTACTTGTATTTATGAGAGGTATTGACATGTTGAATGCACTGAGCTGTCTGTTTGAACTACTGGCACACAGCTCAGACACCCATGCATACCCCACAAGACATGCCACCAGAGGTCTATTCACAGTCCCCAAGTCCAGAACAGACTATGGGAGGCGCACAGTACTACATAGAGCCATGACTACATGGAACTCTATTCCACATCAAGTAACTGATGCCAGCAGTAAAAGTAGATTTAAAAAACAGATAAAAATACACCTTATGGAACAGCGGGGACTGTGAAGCAACACAAACATAGGCACAGACACACGCACACACACACGATACCATACGCACTATACACACACGTACACATGGATTCTGTACTGTAGATATGTGGTAGTGGTGGAGTAGGGGCCTGATGGCACACAGTGTGTTGTGAAATTTGTGAATGTATTGTAATGTTTTTAAAATTGTATAACTGCCTTAATGTTGCTGGACCCCAGGAAGAGTAGCTGCTGCCTTGGCAGGAACTAATGGGGTTCCTTAATAAATACAAATACAAATAGTGTAAAAGGGTCTGTCTATCTATATTGGCCGGTGAGACAGGCAGAGGCACATGTTGAAGCAGGAATCTGGAGACCTGGCACTGGGTTGGGTAAAGGGTTAGGGTTAGGGTTAGTACAACACTCACTTTACTATCCCCTGATATACTATAGCCCAGAGAGAGAGAGAGAGGGGGGGGGGGGGGGGGGGGAGAGAGAGAGGGTGCTGGGAGGGGGAGAGGGAGATAGAGATTTATATATATACACTACCGTTCAAAAGTTTGGGGTCACTTAGAAATGTCCTTGTTTTTGAAAGAAACACCATTTTTGTGTCCATTAAAATAACATCAAATTGACCAGAAATACAGTGTAGACATTGTTAATGTTGTGAATGGCTATTGTAGCTGGAAACGGCTGATTTTTTATGGAATATCTACATAGGCGTACAGAGGCCCATTACCAGCAACCATCAGTCCTGTGTTCCAATGGCACGTTGTGTTTGCTAATTTTAAAAGGCTAATTGATCATTAGAAAACCCTTTTGCAATTATGTTAGCACAGCTGAAAACTGTTGTGCTGATTAAAGAAGCAATAAAACTGGCTTTCTCGGGTAGAGGGAGGGGGATAGAGATCGAGGGGGGTAGAGGGAGGGGGAGAGAGATACAGGGGGGGGTAGAGGGAGGGGAATAGAGATCGAGGGGGGTAGAGGGAGGGGGGGAGAGAGATAGAGGGGGGGTAGAGGGAGGGGGAGAGAGATACAGGGGGTAGAGGGAGGGGGGAGAGAGATAGAGGGGGGGGGTAGAGGAGGAGGATAGAGATAGAGGGGGGGGTAGAGGGAGGAGGATAGAGATAGAGGGAGGGGGAGAGTAAGGGGGAGAGAGATAGAGGGGGTAGAGGGAGGGGGGAGAGTAGAGGGAGGGGGAGAGGGAGGGGGAGAGAGATGAGAGGGATGAGAGGGGTAGAGGGAGGGGCAGAGAGATAGAGGGGGTGAGGGAGGGGGAGGAGAGGATACAGGGGGGGTTAGAGGGGGGAGGGGAATAGAGAGTGAGGGTGGTAAGAGGGAGGGGAGATGAGAATGAGATAGATGGGGGGGTAGAGGAGAGAGGGAGAGGATAGAGTTTTGGGGGTAGAGGGAGGGGAGAGAGATACAGGGGGTAGAGGGAGGAGGATAGAGATAGAGGAGGGGTAGAGGGAGGGGGAGAGAGATAGAGGGGGGGGGGGTTAGAGGGAGGGGAGAGAGATACAGGGGGGTGGAGAGGGAGGAGGATAGAGATAGAGGGAGGGGGAGAGGGAGGGGGAGAGAGATAGAGGGGGTTAGAGGGAGGGGGAGAGAGATAGAGGGGGGGTAGAGGGAGGGGGAGAGAGATAGGGGGGTAGAGGAGGGGGAGAGAAGAGAGGGGGGGGAGAGGAGGTGGGAGAGAGATAGAGGGGGTGTAGAGGGAGGGGGGAGAGAGATAGAGGGGGTAGAGGGAAACAGGGGGGAGAGAGATAGCGGGGGGGTGTAGGGTAGAGGGAGGGGGAGAGAGGATAGAGGGGGGAGGAGGGAGGGGGAGAGAGATTAGAGGGAGGGGGAGAGAGAGGGAGAGAGAAGCAGGGGAGGGGGGAGAGGGAGGGGGAAGGGAGAGAGTAGAGGGAGGGGGAGAGGGAGGGGGAGGGAGAGAGCGATAGAGGGAGGGGGAGAGCGATACAGGGGGGGTAGAGGGAGGGGGAAGAGATAGAGGGAGGGGGAGGAGAGATACAGGGGTAGAGGGAGGGGGAGGAGAGAGATAGAGGAGGGGGAGAGGGAGGGGGGGAGGAGAGAGATAGAGGGAGGGGGAGAGGGAGGGGGAGAGAGATAGAGGGGGTAGAGGGAGGGGGAGAGAGATAGTGGGGGCTAGAGGGAGGGATAGGGCTTAAAGGGCTTAGCAGAGGTGGAGAGAACATACAGTGGGGAGAAGAAGTATTTGATACACGGCTGATTTTGCAGGTTTTCCTACTTACAAAGCATGTAGAGGTCTGTAATTTTTATCATAGGTACACTTCAACTGTGAGAGACGGAATCTAAAACAAAAATCCAGAAAATCACATTGTATGATTTTTAAGTAATTAATTTGCATTTTATTGCATGACATAAGTATTTGATCACCTACCAACCAGTAAGAATTCCAGCTCTCACAGACATGTTAGTTTTTCTTTAAGAAGTCCGCCTGTTCTCCACTCATTACCTGTATTAACTGCACCTGTTTGAACTCGTTACCTGTATAAAAGACACCTGTCCACACACTCAATCAAACAGACTCCAACCTCTCCACAATGGCCAAGACCAGAGAGCTGTGTAAGGACATCAGGGATAAAATTGTAGACCTGCACAAGGCTGGGATGGGCTACAGGACAATAGGCAAGCAGCTTGGTGAGAAGGCAACAACTGTTGGCGCAATTATTAGAAAATGGAAGACGTTCAAGATGACGGTCAATCACCCTCGGTCTGGGGCTCCATGCAAGATCTCACCTCGTGGGGCATCAATGATCATGAGGAAGGTGAGGGATCAGCCCAGAACTACACGGCAGGACCTGGTCAACGACCTGAAGAGAGCTGGGACCACAGTCTCAAAGAAAACCATTAGTAACACACTACGCCGTCATGGATTAAAATCCTGCAGCGCACGCAAGGTCCCCCTGCTCAAGCCAGCGCATGTCCAGGCCCGTCTGAAGTTTGCCAATGACCATCTGGATGATCCAGAGGAGGAATGGGAGAAGGTCATGTGGTCTGATGAGACAAAAATATAGCTTTTTGGTCTAAACTTCACTCGCCGTATTTGGAGGAAGAAGAAGGATGAGTACAACCCCAAGAACACCATCCCAACTGTGAAGCATGGAGGTGGAAACATAATTATTTGGGGATGCTTTTCTGCAAAGGGGACAGGACGACTGCACCGTATTGAGGGGAGGATAGATGGGGCAATGTATCGCGAGATCTTGGCCAACAACCTCCTTCCCTCAGTAAGAGCATTGAAGATGGGTCGTGGCTGGGTCTCACACAGCCAGGGCAACTAAGGAGTGGCTCCGTAAGAAGCATCTCAAGGTCCTGGAGTGGCCTAGCCAGTCTCCAGACCTGAACCCAATAGAAAATCTTTGGAGGGAGCTGAATGTCCGTATTGCCCAGCGACATCCCCGAAACCTGAAGGATCTGGAGAAGGTCTGTATGGAGGAGTGGGCCAAAATCCCTGCTGCAGTGTGTGCAAACCTGGTCAAGACCTACAGGAAACGTATGATCTCTGTAATTGCAAACAAAGGTTTCTGTACCAAATATTAAGTTCTGCTTTTCTGATGTATCAAATACTTATGTCATGCAATAAAATGCTAAATAATTACTTAAAAATCATACAATGTGATTTTCTGGATTTTTGTTTTAGATTCCGTCTCTCACAGTTGAAGTGTACCTATGATAAAAATTACAGACCTCTACATGCTTTGTAAGTAGGAAAACCTGCAAAATCGGCAGTGTATCAAATACTTGTTCTCCCCAATGTATGTGAGACAGGAGGATGAGGTAAGTGGGGAGGGGTGAGGAGGAATGAGATTAAATAAGGAAGTCTATATGATACTCTCAGCTCCATAGAGATGACTTCCCAAAAGGAAGTATATATGCTACTCTCAGCTCCATAGAGATGACTACCCAACAGGAAGTATATATGATACTCTCAGCTCCATAGAGATGACTTCCCAAAAGGAAGTATATATGCTACTTCCAGCTCCATAGAGATGACTACCCAACAGGAAGTATATATGATACTCTCAGCTCCATAGAGATGACTACCCAACAGGAAGTATATATGATACTCTCAGCTCCATAGAGATGACTACCCAACAGGAAGTATATATGCTACTTCCAGCTCCATAGAGATGACTACCCAACAGGAAGTATATATGCTACTCTCAGCTCCATAGAGATGACTACCCAACAGGAAGTATATATGCTACTCTCAGCTCCATAGAGATGACTACCCAACAGGAAGTATATATGCTACTCTCAGCTCCATAGAGATGACTACCCAACAGGAAGTATATATGCTACTCTCAGCTCCATAGAGATGACTACCCAACAGGAAGTATATATGCTACTCTCAGCTCCATAGAGATGACTACCCAACAGGAAGTATATATGCTACTCTCAGCTCCATAGAGATGACTACCCAACAGGAAGTATATATGCTACTCTCAGCTCCATAGAGATGACTACCCAACAGGAAGTATATATGCTACTCTCAGCTCCATAGAGATGACTACCCAACAGGAAGTATATATGCTACTCTCAGCTCCATAGAGATGACTACCCAACAGGAAGTATATGCTACTCTCAGCTCCATAGAGATGACTACCCAACAGGAAGTATATATGCTACTCTCAGCTCCATAGAGATGACTACCCAACAGGAAGTATATATGATACTCTCAGCTCCATAGAGATGACTACCCAACAGGAAGTATATATGATACTCTCAGCTCCATAGAGATGACTACCCAACAGGAAGTCTATATGATACTCTGATAGCCCATGTCAGCTAATTTTTTTTGATTGGTGAGTCAAATCAAATGTTATTTGTCACCTGCATTGTAAACCACAGGTGTAGACTAGCAGTGAAATGCTTACGGGCCCTTCCCAACAATGCAGAGAGAAAGAAAATAGAGGAAGAATAGAAAAATAAAACATGTAATAATAAAAGTAATAATAGATACACAATGAGTAACAATAACTTGGTTATATACACGGGTGCAGGGGTACGAGGTATTAACTTGGCTATATACACAGGGTACCAGTACTGAGTCCATGATAACTTGGCTATATACACAGGGTACCAGTACTGAGTCCATGATAACTTGGCTATATACACAGGGTACCAGTACTGAGTCCATGATAACTTGGCTATATACACAGGGTACCAGTACTGAGTCCATGATAACTTGGTTATATACACAGGGTACCAGTACTGAGTTGATGTGCAGGGGTACGAGGTAATATAGCCAAGTTCTCTGTAGCTCAGCTGGTAGAGCACGGCGCTTGTAACGCCAAGGTAGTGGGTTCGATCCCCGGGACCACCCATACACAAAAATGTATGCACGCATGACTGTAAGTCGCTTTGGATAAAAAGCGTCTGCTAAATGGCATATTATTATTATAGTAATTGAGGTAGATATGTACATATAAGTAGGGATAAAGTGACTAGGCAACAGGATGGAGAATAAACAGTAGCTGTGATGAGTCAAAAGAGTTTGTGCAAAAAGGGTCAATGCAGATAGTCCGGGTAGCTATTGGTTAACTATTTAACTAACTATTTAGCAGTTTTATGGCTTGGGGGTAGAAGCTGTTCAGGGTCCTGTTGGTTCCAGACTTGGCATCGCTTGCCATGCGGTAGCAGAGAGAACAGTCTATGACTTGGGTGGCTGGAGTCTTTGACAATTTTTACATCTCGCTGACCTTGTGTAGTAAGATTCGATCTTGATTCTGTATTGACGCTTTGCCTGTTTGATGGTTTGTCGGAGGGCGTAGAGGGATTCCTTATAAGAGTCCGGGTTAGTGTCCCGCTCCTTGAGAGCTGCAGCTCTACCCTTTAGCTCAGTGCGGATGTTGCCTGTAATCCATGGCTTCTGGTTGGGGTATGTACGTACGGTCACTGTGGGGATGACGTCATCGATGCACTTATTAATGAAGCTGGTGGCTGATGTGGTGTACTCCTCAATGCCATTGGCTGAATCCCGGAACATGTTCCAGTCTGTGCTAGTGAAACAGTCGTCTAGCTTAGCATCCACTTCATCGGACCACTTCCGTATTGAGCGCATCACTGGTACTTCCTGTTTGAGTTTTTGCTTGTTAGCAGGAATCAGGAGGATAGAGTTATGTTCAGATTTGCCAAATGCAATGTCACGTAGAGCTTTGTATACATCTCTGAGTGTGGAGTAAAGGTGATCTAGAGTTTTTTTTTGCCTCTAGTTGCACAGCTGACATGCTGGTAGAAATTATGTAAACTTTAGATCACCTGATTTAAAGTCACAGGCCACTAGGAGCGCCACATATTAGTGAGCATTTTCTTGTTTGCTTATGGCCCTTTTCAGTTCATTGAGTGCTGTCTTAGTGCCAGCATCGGTTTGTGGTGGTAAATAGACAGCTACGAAAAATATAGATGAAAACTCTCTTGGTAAATAGTATGGTCTGCAGCTTATCATGAACTATTCTACCTCAGGCGAGCAGAACCTCCAGATTTCCTTGATAGTAGACATCACACACCAGTTGCTGTTCACAAAGAGACACCCCCCCCCCCCCCCCCCCCTCCCCCCCCTCCCCCCCTCCCCCCTCCCTGGAGCTTCCCTGACGCTTCCGTTCTGTCCTGCCGATGTATAGAAAAACCAGCTATATTTATATTTACCATGTCCTTGTTCAGCCACGACTCGGAGAAACAGGATATTACAGTTCTTCAGATCACGTTGATAGGACAGTCTTGAACGGAGCTCATCCAGTTTAATCTCCAGTGATTGCACATTCGACTATAGAACGGAGGGTAAAGGCAATTTATCCACTCTCCGACGTAGTCTCATCAGGTATCCCACACGCCGGCTTCTATAGCGCCATCTCCTCCTTCTTCGAATGTCGGGGATTTGGGGCTGGTCTGGGATAATCAATATGTATTTTAGAAGTATTCTTCGTCCAAATCTAGGTTAGTGATCGCTGTTCTGATGTCCAGAAGCTGTTTTCAGTCATAGGAAACGATGGTGGAAACATTATGTACAAAAAAGTTAAGATCAGCGTAAACCCCCAGCACCATTCTTACACACTAAGTAAGTTTGTCAAGCGACCAGCTATCTAAACGTGTAGTAATCATGGTCGAATTGCCACCCAGGGGGCCCCTATTGATTTTGTGAGTTATTCTCACTCAGATATCATATTAAAAACTGCAAACATATCTCTCCACCCTTATGGCAAAATGTATAGAACTGCAGGAAATGTACTGTAAAACAGCTCACTTTCCTCTCCGCCCAATGGCAAAATCAGTAGAATTGCAGGAAACTTGCTTTAAAACCGCAAAATTTCCTCTACACCCCATGCCAAAATGGGTAGAATTGCGCTAAATTAACTCATGATGAGTTCATATTTTTTGTGGCCCCCACCCCCATCAAAGTTGCCCATCTCTGGTCTACAGTCCTAGGGGATTTGAAGTCAATATTTTCTAAAGTCATTCTGACAGCCCCCTCAACTCCCAGTATAGCATTAGTCCCCAGAAAGAGCACAGGGTCAGAGACAGACACAGAGCTGCTGAGATGGAAGTAGTCGAAAATGGCTTCTAAAAAGTCTCTCTCTCTCACACACACAGGGAGCGAGAGGGCCAGAAGTGTTTGAAAATAGCTGTTAATGATTGGGTTCTGCTAGCAGTGGAGGTGGCTACATGACACGAGAGTGCAGGGGAATTTAAGAGAGAGAGACAGAGAGAGATAGAAATATATATATATATATATAGAGAGAGGGAAGATATATATATATACAGTGGGGAGAACAAGTATTTGATACACTGCCGATTTTGCAGGTTTTCCTACTTACAAAGCATGTAGAGGTCTGTAATTTTTATCATAGGTACACTTCAACTGTGAGAGACGGAATCTAAAACAAAAATCCAGAAAATCACATTGTATGATTTTTAAGTAATTAATTTGCATTTTATTGCATGACATAAGTATTTGATCACCTACCAACCAGTAAGAATTCCGGCTCTCACAGACCTGTTAGTTTTTCTTTAAGAAGCCCTCCTGTTCTCCACTCATTACCTGTATTAACTGCACCTGTTTGAACTCGTTACCTGTATAAAAGACACCTGTCCACACACTCAATCAAACAGACTCTAACCTCTCCACAATGGCCAAGACCAGAGAGCTGTGTAAGGACATCAGGGATAAAATTGTAGATCTGCACAAGGCTGGGATGGGCTACAGGCCAATAGGCAAGCAGCTTGGTGAGAAGGCAACAACTGTTGGCGCAATTATTAGAAAATTGAAGAAGTTCAAGATGACGGTCAATCACCCTCGGTCTGGGGCTCCATGCAAGATCTCACCTCGTGGGGCATCAATGATCATGAGGAAGGTGAGGGATCAGCCCAGAACTACACGGCAGGACCTGGTCAATGACCTGAAGAGAGCTGGGACCACAGTCTCAAAGAAAACCATTAGTAACACACTACGCCATCATGGATTAAAATCCTGCAGCGCACGCAAGATCCCCCTGCTCAAGCCAGCGCATGTCCAGGACCGTCTGAAGTTTGCCAATGACCATCTGGATGATCCAGAGCAGGAATGGGAGAAGGTCATGTGGTCTGATGAGACAGAAATAGAGCTTTTTGGTCTAAACTCCACTCGCCGTGTTTGGAGGAAGAAGAAGGATGAGTACAACCCCAAGAACACCATCCCAACCGTGAAGCATGGAGGTGGAAACATCATTCTTTGGGGATGCTTTTCTGCAAAGGGGACAGGACGACTGCACCGTATTGAGGGGAGGATGGATGGGGCCATGTATCGCGAGATCTTGGCCAACAACCTCCTTCCCTCAGTAAGAGCATTGAAGATGGGTCGTGGCTGGGTCTTCCAGCATGACAACGACCCGAAACACACAGCCAGGGCAACTAAGGGGTGGCTCCTTAAGAAGCATCTCAAGGTCCTGGAGTGGCATAGCCAGTCTCCAGACCTGATCCCAATAGAAAATCTTTGGAGGGAGCTGAAAGTCCGTATTGCCCAGCGACAGCCCCGAAACCTGAAGGATATGGAGAAGGTCTGTATGGAGGAGTTCAGTCCTTCACGGCATAGTGTGTTACCAATTGTTTTCTTGGTGACTATGGTCCCAGGTGCCTTGAGATCATTGACAAGATCCTCCGGTGTAGTTCTGGGCTGAATTCTCACCGTTCTCATGATCATTGCAACTCCACGAGGTGAGATCTTGCATGGAGCCCCAGGCCGAGGGAGATTGACAGTTATTTTGTGTTTCTTCCATTTGCGAATATATATATAGAGGGAAGAGAGAGAGAGAAATATATATATATATATATATATGTGTATGACACAAGTAATTGTTCCAACAATTGTTTACAGACAGATTAATTCACTTATAATTCACTGTATCACAATTCCAGTGGGTCAGAAGTTTACATACACAAGTTGACTGTGCCTTTAAACAGCTTGGAAAATTCCAGAAAATTATGTCATTGCTTTAGAAGCTTCTGATAGGCTAATTGATCATCATTTGAGTCAATTGGAGGTGTACCTGTGGATGTATTTCAAGGCCTACCTTCAAACTCAGTGCCTCTTTGCTTGACATCATGGGAAAATCAAAAGAAATCAGCCAAGACCTCAGAAAAAAAAATGTAAACCTCCAAAGATCTGGTTCATCCTTGGGAGCAATTTCCAAACACCTGAAGGTACCACGTTCATCTGTACAAACAATAGTACGCAAGTATAAACACCATGGGACCACGCAGCCGTCATACCACTCAAGAAGGAGACGCGTTCTGTCTCCTAGAGATTAACGTACTTTGGTGCGAAAAGTGCAAATCAATCCCAGAACAACAGCAAAGAACCTTGTGAAGATGCTGGAGGAAACAGGTACCTGAAAGGCCGCTCAGGAAGGAAGCCACTGCTCCAAAACCGCCATAAAAAAGCCATACTACGGTTTGCAACTGCACATGGGGACAAAGATCGTATTGTTTGGAGAAATGTCCTCATGTCAGCAGAAACAAAAATAGAACTGTTTGGCCATAATGACCATCGTTATGTTTGGAGGAAAAAGGGGGTTACTTGCAAGCCGAAGAACACAATCCCAACCGTGAAGCACGGGGGTGGCAGCATCATGCTGTGGGGTGCTTTGCTGCAGGAGGTACTGGTGCACTTCACAAAATAGATGGCATCATGAGGAAGGAAAATTATGTGGATATATTGAAGCAACATCCCAAGACATCAGTCAGGAAGTTAAAGCTTGGTCACAAATGGGTCTTCCAAATGGACAATGACCCCAAGCATACTTCCAAAGTTGTGGCAAAATGGCTTAAGGACAACAAAGTCAAGGTATTGGCGTGGCCGTCACAAAGCCCTGACCTCAATCCTATAGAACATTTGTGGGCAGAACTGAAAAAGCGTGTGTGAGCAAGGAGGCCTACAAACCTGACTCAGTTACACCAGCTCTGTCAGGAGGAATGGGCCAAAATTCACCCAACTTATTGTGGGAAGCTTGTGGAAGGCTACCCGAAACGTTTGACCCAAGTTAAACAATTTAAAGGCAATGCTACCAAATACTAATTGAGTGTATGTAAACTTCTGACCCACTGGGAATGTGATGGAAGAAATAAAAGCTTAAATAAATCATTCTCTCTACTATTATTCTGACATTTCACATTCTTAAAATTAAGTGGTGATCCTAACTGACCTAGAGAGAGAGAAAGAGAGACACAAGATTAATTAATCTTGTTTTCTAGCCCAGTTGTGGTTGTTTTTTGTGGTGTCTTCAACTTTCTCTGTGAAGTTAGTAATAATTATTCCCTCATCTCTGAGTTGCTGTCACCTCCCAAGACTCACTAAGAGTAGGCAGATTTAACAGACACATGCATGCACACACATCACCCTGGCATGTTGTTTTAAACCAACTGGTTGTTCCCATCTTCAGGGAATCGAAACTTTCCATTTCTCTCTAACTTTCGTTTCTGTTCAGAGGTGGAGCTAATGTTCACTAGGAGACAGAATATTGAAGCGGGGAGGGACCTACCTGATTGTCCAATAGAAACTTTATTTTTTGGAATATATTTTGCTACTGTTTGCTACGGTGTCTTGACAACAGTAGAGGAAGACTGCTCTAGCAGACAGAAAACAGAAGACAGAGAGACACCTCGTCAAGTTTTATTGAACTGAATTCTCCATCCTCCACCTGAACCATGTCTGGAAACAAGAAAGGTAAGACTAATGATCTTTGCAGGATGTAGCTTAGTTATACAACACTGTATTGTAACCTTACTATCATTATATGTTCCCGATAAGAGCGTCTGCTAAATGACTAAAATGTAAACGTAAATGTAATTATTTGGTAACACTTTACAAGAGGTAACATTTGCATAGGGTATATAATTACTAACGGTTATTGAATCACTTATAAATGCATTATGAACCATTAATAAATATGTATATTGCGTTGGTCCAAATAGTGCGATAACTAGTCAGAGCTTGCCAAATAGTGAGCCACTATTTACCTCCAGTTAATAACCATTTACAATTGCACTTACAAATGCTTATAATATTGAACCCTTATTTATCATCATGCAAATGTATGTTCAATGGTTGCACAGTTGAACATTTCTATTTTCTCACTTTTGGGTTTTGGTTTTCATGATGTGTCTGGCCAACTGTATATCCCGGACATTATTCAGTCATATAATTCCTAACATATTACTGCCCTTTACCAGATTATATCAAGACACTTACCACTTCTCTGTGAAAGTTGTTTATTTATAATACATTTGCAAAAAGTTATAGAAACCTGTTTTCGCTTTGTCATTATGGGGTATTGTGTGTAGATTGATGAGGGCAACAAATAATTTAAGCAATTTTACAATAAGGCTGTAACGTGACAAAATGTGGAAAAGGGGAAGGGGTCTGAATACTTTCCGAAGGCACTGTAACAGTAGGGCCTTGGATAAACTATCACTGTAAATACTATATCACTGTCCGGCTTTGGATAAACTGAATCACTGGATAAACTGTACCACCGGATAAACGGTATCACAATCGGGGCCTTGGATAAACAATGGATACACTGTTTCACTGCATAAATGATATCACTGTCCTGGTCTTCTATAAACTGCATCACTGGAGGATACATTTTATAACTGTCAGGGCCTTGGATAAACTGTATCACAATCGGGGCCATGGATAAACAGTAACACAAGATACACTGTTTCACTGGATAAAATGTATCACTGTCCTGGCCTTGGATAAACCGTATCACTGTCAGGTCTTGGCTAAACTTTATCACTGGATAAACTGTATCAATGATGCGGTCCTTGGCAGGTCGAGAAAGCATCAAAAGGACCTAAACAAAGACTAACCTTCTCCCCTCCAAACGTCCCGCAAGGAGCCCTGGAAACCTGTTCTCCCGTAGAACGGGGTGGTGAATATAGTTAGGGTTCCCCTGCCTTGTTGTATAGAGTAGCATCTAATGGGAAAACTGGAGCGCCGCATCTCAGAGCTGCTCGCGTAATGGCATTTGGAGGCAAAAAGTGGAGGCAGGGAGGTTCAGGTCTGTAATCATACAGATCTCCTCCCAAGCATCTGGATCTAGGGTGTAAAACGAAGGCAGGGTGAAAAACGAAGGCAGTAAAGTGGCAGTAAAGTGCTCTGTCTTCCTAGGGAGTGAGGTGCCAATGACGTTAGTAAAATGGGGCGAGGGGCTGAGGTGGTCAGCCAGAGACGGCTCCACCGTGGGAGAGTTGCCAATGGATTCCTTCATATTGTGCATGTCCAGGCTCGGGGTAGAATCGTTGTTACAAACCCCGTGGCTTTAAACGCCTAGGGTGGATGGACAAGAGACCCGTAACATAATTCATGCAAATTAGAATCATGCAAATTAGAATCGTGACATGGAACAGTGAGAACAAAAACTACACGACAACCATAAACTACCGTCAAACATAAAAGGTTTATTGCTGAACACACGGTAAAGGTTTGGGAGAAAGGGCTGAGCAGGACCCAAGTAATGAAACAATAGTGTAAAACACCCCTAAACTGATCTTGCCTGCCTCAAGAACCGCTAAGCTACTGCTAATCATACAAAAGTACAGTGGGTGGTCCGCTCAGGTCTAACTAGTGTTTTTAGACAGATTTCTTCCTACGGGTAATGTACGCCTGTCAGAGGAACCGATGTGGATGTGGTGGAGGAGTCAGGCGCAGGACACAGAGGTTTCGTCCAACAGTCTTTAATAGTCCAAAGTGCAAAAGAGTAAACACGACCTCGACCAAAAACAGAGGCGAGGGAATTACGCAACCAAGCGTAAACACTAAACACAAAACAAACAGAGCGCAAACACGTAGCTCCGAAAGACAGGCAGACAACAACACACAAACTAACCAATACAAAACAGGGAACTTATAAGACACGTAATCAGAACACAAACAGACACAGGTGTACAAGACAGACCAAAGTAATCACACCACGAAACATACAACGGTGGCAGCTAGTACTCCGGGGACGGCGAACGCCGAAGCCTGCCCGAACCAGGAGGAGGAGCAGTCTCGGCCGAAACCGTGACAACGCCCAAGGGCAACTTGCTTAAATTCCCCTTTTCCCAGAAACACACAACAAAGTTACCAAACAGAGTAACCAGCAAATGAGTGAGTACACAAAACACATACTCACATACGGAAAATAGTCTTCTCTCAACAAACACAACTGACTGGCTTTTAAACAATGGGATGTGTGATTGAAACCCCAGAAACAGGTGGTGCAATGCAGAGGAATGTCCACTGATTGGTCCACCTCAGCAATCAGCAGACACCCCAACGACCACCAATCAGGAACATACAGGACACCTGTGATTAGGGCAGAAGGAGAGGAAAAACACAAAAAGACACAGGATACCTGTATCCGTAACACTCCCACCCTTAAAAGAGCAAACCACAATGGTTTGCGACACCCGTACCATCACAACACCCAAAATTCAACAATCAACCGCATCCTGACGGGATAACAAAAAACCTAGTTCTTTAAACACGAGACAAAGCATCTGACAACACATTTTCCGACCCCTTTTTGTGGCGGATCTCCAAATGATAATTTTGCACTACAAGTGCCCAACGCATAAGGCGTTGGTTCTGGTTGTACATCCGGTGGAGAAAAACTAAGGGGTTATGGTCAGTATACACTATCACTGGTAATGCACTGGAACCAACATAAACTTCAAAGTACTGAAGAGCTAACAACAAAGCTAGAGCTTCTTGTTCAATGGTGGAATAGTTCGTCTGACATTTGTTAAATTTCCGTGAAAAACAACAGACAGGATGGTCCACTCCACTCTGGTCCTGCTGCAGTAGAACAGCACCAGCACCTCTGGCACTTGCATCTACCTCCAGTTTAAACGGTCGTTCAAAATCTGGCGCAGCAAGAACAGGAGTACTACATAAGAGTGCTTTAGCAGTGTTGAAAGCAGTACGACAATCTTCAGACCATACACATTTTCTCGCCGGACTGAGCAAATCCGTTAATGGAGCAACTACCGCAGATAATTTTTTACAGAAACTACGGTAGTAGCCAACCATCCCTAAAAAGCGGCGTAGCTCTCTTCTGGTGGTAGGTGCGGGAAATGCATTTATAGCTGAGACCTTGGCATCTACAGGGCGCACCTGACCATGGCCGACCTGTTTACCGAGATAAGTAACAGTGGCCTTCCCAAACTCGCACTTTGCTAAGTTCAGGGTTAGAGAAGCGGCTGCTAGACTTTCACACACTACCCTTAGAGTTGTAATATGATCAGACCACTCAGTCGAATAAATGACCAGATCATCAAGGTAAGCACTACAATTAGGAACTCCAGCCAATACTGTGTTAACCAGGCGTTGGAAAGGGGCTGGTGCGTTCCGCATCCCAAATGCCATGACAGCATATTGTAGGAAGTGATCTGGGGTCACAAATGCAGAGATGTCGGAGGCACGTGAGGTTAACGGCACCTGCCAGTAACCTTTTAGAAGATCTAGTTTGGTTACATAAGTAGCAGCACCAACAGTATCAATACAGTCATCCAGTCTGGGTAACGGGAACGAGTCGGGCACTGTGACAGCATTGACCTTCCGATAGTCCGTACATAACCTCGATGTCCCATCAAGTTTAGGAACCAGAATGCACGGAGAACTCCAAGGACTTGAACTTGGCATAGCCAGGTTATTCTCCAGCAAATAACCGACCTCATCCCTCATTATCTTTCTTTTAGAGACGTTGATAAGCATGTTGCTTGATAGGTGCAGCGTTTCCAACATTAATGTCATGTTCTAACACATTTGTGCATGTAGGAACATCATTAAAAAGACATGGAAAGCTGTGTAATAGTCTCACAATATCATCTGACTGTCCGTCCGTTAAATGAATCAGGCTTGATGGGAGAGACAGCAGCATCTCTGAATTGGGCAATCTAGCACACTGCTGCTGAGTATTGCGCAACTCCAAACCATCTCCGTCCACATCATTAACATGACTTCCCACTACAGCCGCAGCAACAATAGAGACAGCCGTCTCGGCCAGTTTCTCTGGACTGTCTATCTGAGTGACGGGTCTGGTGTGGTATGTCTTCAACATGTTAACGTGGCACACACGGGATTGGCGTTTTCTATCAGGAGTCTGTATCACGTAGTCAGTTTCACTTAGTTTCTTTTCAATGACATAAGGACCAGAGAAACGTGCTGACAATGACGCTCCTGGCACCGGCAACAATACAAGAACTTGGTCACCTGGCTGCAGTGAACGAGAAACAGCCTGGTTGTCATAGTGCCGTTTCATCCGTCTCTGTGAGGAAGACAGCGCTTCCTTTGCTAGAGCACAGGCACCATGTAGGCGCTCACGAAAGTGACTAACGTAGTCCAACACATTTTCTTTCACACACAACTCTTGTGATAAAAACTGATCCTTAAGGACTTTCATAGGTCCTCTCATGGTGTGTCCAAACACCAGTTCAGCTGGGCTGAACCCTAAGGATTCCTGTACTGTCTCACGGACAGCAAACAAAACTAGAGGAACTCCCTCATCCCAATCCTTCTCAGATTCCAAGCAATATTTACGGAGCATAGACTTCAGTGTCTGATGCCAACGTTCAAGTGCAACCTGAGACTCTGGGTGATATGCGCTTGACACACGGTGTGACAATAAAGTATGCCAGGTTTTTCTTCTTTAGCTCCTCCTCTGAGACAACACTAGAAAAACATTTAGCCAGGCTAATGTCAACCTTCTGGTTAGCGATCAGCTGCTCACGAGTGACTGGTAACTGTATTGCCTCAGCAACAAGTTCCACATCCTTCTTCCTTTCTCTGGGCTGTTGGTCAGACTGCACCAGCTTACCAGAGGTAGCACCCGAACTATCCTCTGGGTCACACTCTCTGAATAGAATCGTGTTCGACAAATATATCACGTCACCCACTTGTCGTGCTTGAGCACATGTGACAGCACAAGCGGGGAACACATCTGGATAACCCTAGTGCCCCCCCCTCCATGTCCCCAGGTGTTGTAGTGCCCCTCCCTCCATGTCTCCAGGTGTTGTAGTGCCCCTCCCTCCATGTCTCCAGGTGTTGTAGTGCCCCCCCCTCCATGTCTCCAGGTGTTGTAGTGCCCCTTCCTCCATGTCTCCAGGTGTTGTAGTGCCCCTCCCTCCATGTCTCCAGGTGTTGTAGTGCCCCTTCCTCCATGTCCCCAGGTGTTGTAGTGCCCCCCCCCTCCATGTCTCCAGGTGTTGTAGTGCCCCTTCCTCCATGTCTCCAGGTGTTGTAGTGCCCCTCCCTCCATGTCTCCAGGTGTTGTAGTGCTCCTTCCTCCATGTCTCCAGGTGTTGTAGTGCTCCTCCCTCCATGTCTCCAGGTGTTGTAGTGCCCCTCCCTCCATGTCTCCAGGTGTTGTAGTGCCCCTCCCTCCATGTCCCCAGGTGTTGTAGTGCTCCTTCCTCCATGTCTCCAGGTGTTGTAGTCCTCCTTCCTCCATGTATCCAGGTGTTGTAGTGCTCCTTCCTCCATGTCTCCAGGTGTTGTAGTGCTCCTTCCTCCATGTCTCCAGGTGTTGTAGTGCTCCTTCCTCCATGTCTCCAGGTGTTGTAGTCCTCCTTCCTCCATGTATCCAGGTGTTGTAGTGCTCCTTCCTCCATGTCTCCAGGTGTTGTAGTGCTCCTTCCTCCTTGTCCCCAGGTGTTGTAGTGCTCCTTCTTCCATGTCCCCAGGTGTTGTAGTGCCCCTCCCTCCATATCCCCAGGTGTTGTAGTGCCCCTCCCTCCATGTCCCCAGGTGTTGTAGTACTCCTTCCTCCGTGTCCCCAGGTGTTGTAGTGCTCCTCCCTCCATGTCCCCAGGTGTTGTAGTGCCTCCCCCCCCTCCATGTCCCCAGGTTTTGTAGTGCTTCTTCTTCCATGTCCCCAGGTGTTGTAGTGCCCCTCCCTCCATGTCTCCAGGTGTTGTAGTGCCCCTCCCTCCATGTCTCCAGGTGTTGTAGTGCCCCCCCCCTCCATGTCTCCAGGTGTTGTAGTGCTCCTCCCTCCATGTCTCCAGGTGTTGTAGTGCCCCTTCCTCCATGTCCCCAGGTGTTGTAGTCCTCCTCCCTCCATGTCTCCAGGTGTTGTAGTGCCCCCCCCCCTCCATGTCTCCAGGTGTTGTAGTCCTCCTTCCTCCATGTCCCCAGGTGTAGTGCCCTTCTTCCAGGTTGTTGTAGTGCCCCCCCCCACTCCCATGTCCCCCATGGGTGGGATGCCCTATAATGCCCCCCCTCCATGGCCGTCCCCAGGTGTTTGTAGTGCCCCCCCTCCATGTCTCCAGGTGTTTGTAGTGCTCCTTCGTCCATGTCCCAGGTGTTGTAGGCCCCCCCCTCCATGTCCCCAGGTGTTGTAGTGCCCCCCCTCCCATGTCTACAGGTGTTTGTAGTGGCCCCATCCCCTCCATGTCCCCAGGTGTTGTTGGTGCCCCCCCCCCCCCCCCCAAGTCCTCCTAGGTGTTGTAGTCCTCCTCCCGTCCATGTCCTCCAGGTGTTGTAGTGCCACCCTCCCTCCGTTGATGCCCAGGTGTTTGTAGTGGCCCCCCCCCGCCATGTCCCCCCAGGTGTTTGTGTATGTGCCGCCCCCCCCATCCCATGTCCTCCAGGTGTTTGTAGTTCTCCTTTCCTCCTCCATGTCTCCAGGTGTTGTAGTTGCTACCATTCCCTCAAGTCCCAGGTGTTGTAAAGTGGCCCCCCTCCATGTCGCCAGGTGTTGGTAGTGCTCCTTTCCTACATGTCGCCCAGGTGTTGTAGTGCTCCTTCCTCCCATGTCTCCAGGTGTTGTAGTCCTCCTTCCTCATGGTATCCATCCGGTGTTGTAGTGCGCCTTCCTCCATGTCTCCAGGTGTTGTAGTGCTCCTTCTTCCATGTCTCCAGGTGTTGTAGTGCTCCTTCCTCCATGTCTCCAGGTGTTGTAGTGCTCCCTCTTCCCAGATCTGTTTGTGCTGTATTGTCACCTCAAGGAGTATAACTCTGTTGGGATTAGGGTAGTTCCTAATCTCGGTTAACCCAGAATTGAAATATTTACGTAGTCTGTCCATAAGAGAGTAGGGTAGTTCCTGGTTCCTGGTTCCTGGTTCCCCTCCCAGAGAAATGTTATCTGAGGTTTCACCTCAACTGACCCAGTGATAAGACCCAGTCATAAATACACACAGCTCATCATCGTATTGTTCCTCCATGTTCCTCCAGGATACTCCACCACCTCTCAGAAGCACCGTAACTTTGTCTCTGAGCCGATGGGGAACCGGTCTGTGAGAGACGTACCCGGGATCGGACCTGTACAGGGCCGCAGGCTAGAGGATAAGGGCGTTACCAGGTAGGTTCACTACATAGGAATAGTGTGCCAAATCAGAACCAACCATAGTTTCAGAACCAACCATAGTTTCTGAAATGTCTGGGAACTTTGGTCAATTTATGTGAGTAAATCCACCAATCACTGATGTGCTGCCCCAAGCTGGTGAGAGTAGACAACAACACATCCGCCATAATGATCCTCAACACGGGGGCCCCTCAGGGGTGCGTGCTTAGTCCCCTCCTGTACTCACTGTTCACCCACGACTCCAACGCCATCATTAAGTTTGCTGACGACACAGTGGTGGTAGGCCTGATCACCGACAACGATGAGACAGCCTATAGGGAGGAGGTCAGAGACAACCTCTCCCTCAACGTGATCAAGACAAAGGAGCTGATCGTGGACTGCAGGAAAAGGAGGGCCGAGCACGCCCCCATTAACACCGACGGGGATGTAGTGGAACAGGTTGAGAGCTTCAAGTTCCTCGGTGTCCACATCACCAACAAACTATCATGGTCCAAACACACCAACACAGCCGTGAAGAGGGCACGACAAAGCCTATTCCCCCTCAGGAGGCTGAAAAGATTTGGCATGGGACCTCACATCCTCAAAAAGTTATACAGCTGCACCATTGAGAGCATCTTCACTGGCTGGATCACCGCTTGGTATGGCAACTGCTTAGCATCTGACCGCAAGGCACTACACAGGGTAGTGCGTACGGCCCAGTACATCACTGGGGCCAAACTCTCTGCCATCCAGGACCTTTATACCAGGCGGTGTCAGAGGAAGGCCCTAAAAATGGTCAAAGACTCCAGCCCCCAAGTCATAGACTGTTCTCTCTGCTACCGCACGGCAAGCGGTACCGGAGCGCCAAGTCTGGAACCAACAGGACCCTGAACAGATTCTACCCCCAAGCCATAAGACTGCAAAATAGTTAGTTAAATAGTTAACCAAATAGCTACAAGGAATATCTGCATTGACCCCTTTTGCACTAACTTTTTTGACTCATCACATACACTGCTGCTACTGTCTATTATCTATCCTGTTGCCTAGTCACTTTACCCCTACCTACAGTATACTGCTGCTACTGTCTATTATCTATCCTGTTGTCTAGTCACTTTACCCCTACCTACAGTACACTGCTGCTACTGTCTATTATCTATCCTGTTGTCTAGTCACTTTACCCCTACCTACAGTATACTGCTGCTACTGTCTATTATCTATCCTGTTGTCTAGTCACTTTACCCCTACCTACAGTATACTGCTGCTACTGTTTATTATCTATCCTGTTGCCTAGTCACTTTACCCCTACCTACAGTATACTGCTGCTACTGTCTATTATCTATCCTGTTGTCTAGTCACTTTACCCCTACCTACAGTATACTGCTGCTACTGTCTATTATCTATCCTGTTGTCTAGTCCCTTTACCCCTACCTGCAGTATACTGCTGCTACTGTCTATTATCTATCCTGTTGCCTAGTCACTTTACCCCTACCTACAGTATACTGCTGCTACTGTCTATTATCTATCCTGTTGTCTAGTCACTTTACCCCTACCTACAGTATACTGCTGCTACTGTCTATTATCTATCCTGTTGTCTAGTCACTTTACCCCTACCTACAGTATACTGCTGCTACTGTCTATTATCTATCCTGTTGTCTAGTCACTTTACCCCTACCTACAGTATACTGCTGCTACTGTCTATTATCTATCCTGTTGTCTAGTCACTTTACCCCTACCTACAGTATACTGCTGCTACTGTCTATTATCTATTCTGTTGTCTAGTCCCTTTACACCTACCTACAGTATACTGCTGCTACTGTCTATTATCTATCCTGTTGTCTAGTCACTTTACCCCTACCTACAGTATACTGCTGCTACTGTCTATTATCTATCCTGTTGTCTAGTCACTTTACCCCTACCTACAGTATACTGCTGCTACTGTCTATTATCTATTCTGTTGTCTAGTCCCTTTACACCTACCTACAGTATACTGCTGCTACTGTCTATTATCTATCCTGTTGTCTAGTCACTTTATCCCTGCCAATATGTACATATCTACCTCAAATACCTCGTACCCCTGCACATGGACTCAGTAGTGGTACCCCGTGTATATAACCAAGTTATCATTGACTCAGTACTTGTACCCCGTGTATATAGCCAAGTTATCGTTACTCATTGTGTATTTATTATTACGTGTTGTACTTTTCTATTCTTCCTCTATTTTCTTTCTCTCTGCGTCGTTGGGAAGGGCCCGTAAGCATTTCACTGTTAGTCTACACCTGTGGTTTACGAAGTATGTGATGAATACAAGTTGGTTTGATCAACCAGAAGTTAAAGCTGTTGAAAATAAGTTTAAGCATTTCCCAAAAATATACCTATACAAGAGCTATACATAGTTTCAGAAAACTTTACCAGAACTTAACAGTAAATGACCCCGTTTTGTCTCTCCCAGGGCTGACCAGATGTTGGGCCAGTACCTGGTGAGTGGTCGAGACCAAGGCCAGTTCCAGGGCTATCTGAAAAAGACCACAGGGGCCAACGCCAAGCAACAAAGTGACGCCTACAATGGAATGAGAGAGTGGACCAACAACAATATGTAGAGGAGAGCAGACATTCACTCACTGTCTCTGCTCCTTTCTGCTTTTCTACTCCTTACTAGGACTCTTCAGACCTTCCTAGGTCAACTTTCAACTAATTATTAATAAGTAATTATTGATAAGTATTGATAAGTAATCTTGAGTAATCATAAAGTTGATAGTTATCTATAAGACACTGTACTTCCTTCTGTTCTTCTTGTCACATCCTTCAACTAAGACCCTGGGCCCTGTCCCCAGGTTAAAGTGATAGTTTTGGGTGCATTCTGTTTTGGAATAAATCTGGAATTAACTTCTTGTTGTTGTCCTGCTGTATTCTTGATGGCTGCAAAAGTCTTAAGAGTCAACACATTGTTACAGATGTCCTGGTGCTGTAACCGGGACTTCTCTTAATAACTAAAATCATAAAAGCCCAATGAAGACGTTTATTTTTGTTATATCAATATCACATAATTTCTGGTTAACAATTAAATACCTTACTGTGATTTTCAATTAAAAAAGAAGAAAAACAAATGACATTTCTCAAGCAAGAATTTAGCTAGGACTGTCTGAGAGTGGTCTGAGAGAGGGGCCTAATCGGAGGGGCCTAATCGGAGGGGCCTAATCGGAGGAGCCTAATCGGAGGGGCCTAATCGGAGGGGCCTAATCGGAGGGGCCTAATCGGAGGGGCCTAATCGGAGGAGCCTAATCGGAGGAGCCTAATCGGAGGAGCCTAATCGGAGGGATGTGCAACCTGAAGACTAGCTGTTATTGGCAGAGAGGAGAGAGGAGGGCAAACTCTCGTTATTGGTCTATTAACTATTGGTGATGTCACCAGGCAATCAAGCTGACATTTCAGGCGGTCTTTTCAGACAGCTCTTACACGAAAAGGGCATTATCATAATGTTCACAATGTTATTCCAACCTCAGAGTGTGGAAATAGACCGGTAACTGCCAAAATAAAGGAAACACCAGCAAAGTGTCTTCAATAATAATATTAAAATAATTTTTAAAA